TCATTTGCCCAGATAGCCCTGCCCCTCACGAACTTACTAAAAACGAAGGCAGAATCCTCAGTGAAACTAGCGACCCACTGAAATGGACAATGGAATGCCAAGCGGCATTTGAGAGATTAAAGAGACTCTTTTCTGCCAAACTGAGGCATCCAGACATGGATAAGCCTTTCGTAATACAGGCGGATGAAAGTGATGTGGCAGTGGGGGCTGTACTATTACAAGAAAACGAGGTTAAAAAGCCCTGCTTTAATAAAACTCAAGAGCTCTGGTTTTAATGAAGTTATAATTTCTGAAATGTGGTCTTGATTGTATTAGCCTGTCTGTTATCCTTATGTGAACCTCATATATATATTATAATGTATTATATATAAAAAACCACCAGATCCAAAATAAAAGCCTCCCCCATTAGTGAAGAGATCCAGCAAAAAATCATTCCCAGAGAGAAATTATCCAGATGCCTTAAGCTCTATGGTCTCCCCAAGATACACAAAGAAGGAACCCCACTTAGACCCATAGTCAGCTCCATAGGCTCACCTCTACAAAACCTAGCCAAATTTCTCGCCAAACAGCTACAGTCCTATGCAGAATCCATCACCTCACACGTAAAAAACTCATTCCATTTCTTAGAGATCATAAAGAAACAAAACTTACAGCCCAGCGACCTACTCATGAGCTTCAATGTCATATCCCTCTTCACCCAAGTGCCTATCAAAAAAGCTTTGACAGCTATCCAAAACAAATATAACCCCCCCAAACACATCCTAGATCTGACCAACCACTGCCTATCCATACTTCATCTATAATGGACAAAAATACAAATAAATAGAAGGAGCACCCATGGGATCACCCCTCTCACCTGTCATTGCAAACCTCTACATGGAACACTTTGAAACCCAAGCTCTAGAAAAATCTGGATCACAAACCCAAACTCTGGCTCAGATACGTAGACGACACCTTCATAATCTGGCCACATGGGAAAGAAAAACTGGACAACTTCCTCATACACCTCAACAGCCTACACCCCAAAATACAGTTCACCATGGAAACAGAAGCTAATAACCAACTTCCCTTCCTGGATGTCTTAGTCTACAAGAAATCCAATGGCTCCCTAGGACACACCATCTACCAGAAGAAAACACACACAAACTGCTATCTGCACACTCTCTCACACCACCACCCAGCACAGATCAACTCCGTAGCCAAGACACTCATCTCTAGAACAAAACACTTAGCTGATGAACAACACCTAAAAACCGAACTACACACTCTCACTAATGTACTTATATCCAATGGATTCCAAAGAAATAAGATTACCAAACTAATCCAAAAAGAAATCCCCACTAAAATCCAAGACAGAATCCAAGAAAATGGCAAAGCCCTCCTCCCTTACATAAAAGGCACCACAGACAGAATCAGCAAGATCCTCCACAAACACAACATTAAGACAGCATTCTGCACAGAAACAGAAAAATATCCACCATCCTAAGAAACCCCAAAGACAAAATTGAATTAGAAAATCAAGGAGTATACGAAATCTCATGCACCACTTGTCCCACCACATACATCGGACAAACCAACAGAAGAATAAGTGCACGCATTGAAGAACATAAGAACTCAGTCAAAAAAGAGGAACCAACTTCTTCCCTGGTCCAACACCTTAAAATCACAGGACTTTAAATCATTGACTTTAAAAAGACCAGAACTATCGCCAAAACTGAACCTTTAATAACAGAATAATCAGAGAAGCCATCGAGATAGAAAAATGCCCACACAGCATGAACAAACAAGATGATACCTCCCACCTACCAGCCATTTGGAAACCCGCCCTTATTGACAAACGAGTCCCTTACATAAAGAATGACACCAGACCCACACTCACAAAAGCCACACAGGATGTCACCACCACACATCCACGCAAAAAGCAAAGCCAAACCCACACCGATGATGAGGCACGACCACAAACCAGAAGCCAGATCACAGCTGCATCATTAGCCACTTTAAACCCCTCCAATCCATACATGAATCAAACTGACACCCACCATGAAGATGAGGCACGACCACGAACACGAAGCCAAACAATAGCAATACAGCGCACCATCTCACATCCCCGTGCAACTCAGACTAACCTGAGCACAACAAAGCAAAGGGAGGGAAACCCAAACCCAAACAGAACACTCCCCCAACCAATCAGAGCACAGCCAACCCCCCATCCAATCAGAGCACAGCCAACCCCCATCCAATCAGAGCACAGCCAAGCTCCTAACCAATCAGAACACACCTCCATCCAATCAGAACACAGCCAAGCTCTCATCCAATCAGTTCAAACCCCCACTGGCAGTTAAAAGGAAGAAACAGCTACGATCACACATTGCTCCTAGAAGCACGAAGCTGAAAACACCAGCCTGAAGATGACGAATGGGACTTCGTCAAAACGTCGCCAAGACACTTCCAATTTTACGCAGGAGAAAACCCGAATAACCAAAGACCTACATACAAACACCCGCGAAAACCTCAGAAAATTTATGATTATTATTTTTTTTTATTGAATTTTTTCAGAAATTTTACAGATAAACATCCACCCCCCCTCCCAAACCACCCCACCCTCCCCCCCCCCGACTTCCCAGAACTGAATATAGGATTATTTAACAAATTTTAAAAATAACGTTTACAATTTATAAGATAATTAATAATAATAATAAAAATCGTAATCATAATATATATAATAATAATATACATAACATAAGCTTTAAAGTGAATAATATATACTAAAAAAAAAAGAAGAAAAAAAAAAGAGGAAAAAAGGAAAAAGAAAAGAGAGAGAAAAAGAAAAAAAGAAAAAGGTAGACGAAAAATAAAACATATATAAAAAAGTATATGAATAATAATACATAAAGCGTAAAAAAAAGAAGAAAGAAAGAAAAAAAAACAACAATCATTACAAGTTATAGAAAAGCTAAATAATATTTTTCTATATCCAAATTATGTTGTATAAAATTTATCCATTTTTCCCATACCGCAAAAAATTTCTCTTGAGATTGCTCCTTTAAAAAAGCCGAAATCTTTGCCATTTCTGCCAAATACGAAACTTTATAAAACCACTCTTGTAAAGTAGGCAAGGATTCCTTCTTCCAATATTGTCCTATTAACAGCCTAGCGGCTGTAATCAAATTTAACATCAATATAACCTCCTTAGCATCACAATCAATAACAATACCTAATAAAAATAATTGCGGAGTAAATTTTACCCTCTTTCTAAAAATTCTTTGAATATTCCACCATATCTTAATCCAAAAAGCTTTTATATGCTTACACGTCCACCAGATATGATAATAAGTAGCATCCAAGTGTCCACATCTCCAGCATTTCGGCTGTAAATTAGGGTACATAATGGACATTTTCTTTGGATCAAGGTGCCATCTATAAAACATCTTATAAAAATTCTCTCTTAAATTTTGCGCTTGTGTGAATTTAACATTTCTTATCCAAATAAGTTCCCAAGTATCCATTGAAATCGATTCACCAATATTCTGTGCCCATTTAATCATACAATCTTTAACTAATTCAGATTCTGAATCCAATTCCACTAAAACCCCATAAACTCTCTTTATATGAGTTGGCCTTTGATCTCTTACTTGTTTTAGAAGAATTTCATCTTCTCTGAGCCAGCCCATTTTACAATCCATCTTCCATCTATCCACTATTTGTCTATATTGGAACTGAAAATTTATGATTATTTAAATGACCTTTAAAATACTGAACTTGAATGTTTTACCCTTTTAAACCAGAGGCAATTTGCCCTAAAACAGTGAAATTAGCTGCTTTTAATCTCAAAATTGGTTAATACAATAATAACCAAAATATGTCAATTTAATGGCTACCTCAGAGAATGTTTCATTTAGGTTAGTACTAAAATAATCATTTAACTTATTGTTAGTACTGAAATAATCATTTAACTTATTGTACTAATTGGGCTTCCCTGACATATACAGGTAGTCATCAACCTACAACTACAATTGGGACTGAAACTTCCATCACTAAACAAGACAGTTGTTAAGTGGGTCACATCTAGTTTTATGACCTTTTTGTCATGGTCATTAAGTAAATCACCATGGTCATTAAGTGAATCACACTGTTGTTACACAAATCTAACTGCCTCCATTGACTATGTTTATTGGAAGCTAGCTGGAAAGGTCGCAAATAGAAATCATATGAGCCTTTGATGCTGCAAATCAAAAATCCGTTCCAGTTGCCAAGGGCCTGAATTCTGATCATGTGACTGATCACATCATTTTTTTTCTGCATCATTATAACCTTGAATGGTACCTAAATGAATGGGTGTTAAGTCGAGGACTATCTGTATTTTGTTGTGACAGTCAGCTCCCCAGTGATGGATGCCTGCCAAGAAATAGAAATAGGCATTTTGTAATCCTTGGCTTAATTTTAAAAGCCCTCTTCAGAAGATCTGTTGTGAAACTTCTGGGAAGATTATCTTCACTCTGTGTAGTGTTCTGGAAAAAATATCAAGATAATAAGAATGAGAAACAAAAAGAGAGGTGTTGGGAAAGGCAAAGGGTGTCTCAGAAAGCAGATGGGCAACATATCCTCTATTCTTCTTCTGTTTAGTGTTGATCAACAGTTGTGATTATCCCAAACTTCTGGAATAATTCAAAGGAATTTTATTTTAGCATGTATATCTTAACAATATTATAATTTAAAAAATGATTATTTGTAATTTTTATTTGTTAACATATATCATATGATCATGTAGTATTACTACTTACATTTGAAAGTTTGTAGTGTTACTAACTTATATTTGAAAGCTTTTGTATTCAGTTTATTGGGAGGAGGTGTAGAATGGAATCCACAAATGATTTTTCCTTTAAGCTCCAGTTTCTTAAACTCTCACTTTATAAATAATTGGGGAAGATTTAAGATTTAAACATAGTTTGCTCCAAAAACTCCCAATGCTCCATGAAGAAAATGTTCACCCTTCCTTTCAGGCTGACAGTGTCTGGATGGACATCAGGGATGATGATGAACTCCCTACAGTTGAGGAATTAGAAGATTGGATAGAAGATGTGCTTTCCAGCAAAATAAACACAGAAGATGATGATGATGATGACGACGACGACGACGACGACGATGATGATTAGGTTATAGCTCATCGTATACTGTACACTAAAATCTGTGTGCCTCAAAATACTATGCCTTAAAGTGTTTCCCATCTAAAGGGAAAATACTGTTCTTTTTGACTTCTAAGGGCCATTGAAAATTCATAGTCTTGATCTCTTTTATTTGTTCCTCTTCCCAAATACTATCTTCCCCCTTCTGGCTTCTACAATGTGTACACTATACCTACAGTAAGTCAGAAATTATTATTTTTTAAATTGTGTAAGCTAAGCATTTATGGTCTCTGCAGGAAACTTTAAATTTATGGATATGTTCACTCATAACAATAAGAGAAAATACAGGATTATATAATAGTTCATGAGTTACCAAGGACATTTCTGTGCTACACTACTCCCAACAGAATGGCTTGCCAAATCAAAGTGTAGAAAATGGAAATAGTGAAGAGCAATAGACCTTTTCTCCCTGTTCTTCTATCGCTTGGGATTATGGGCTCATGTTTTCTCCACCTCCCTACCACAGCTTGCATGGGCATGCAAGCTATTTGTGGAGGACATGTCCTCTACAATGGAATTTCAGTCTTTGAGTCAAACTGCTACTGAGTTGATTGTAGTAGATCAAAGTGATACAGCAGGACTGTGTATCAGGAGAAGATAGAACAATCCCTCCTCCATTCAAACATTCTGTGTCAATCACCAAAAGTGGTGATTGCAGGACTTCAAATAGCCCATTGCAGAATTTTCCCCTCTCTTCCAATTATGGGGTGCTTTGTGACTCCATGGCCACTTTTGCTTTGGTGGCCAGGGAGAATAGAGCCTTACCCAGCAGCCAGTTACTTCTACCAGTTGTATCTGATAAGAATAGCAGCCTTTGGAATGTAATGCATGTGGTGGCTATTCCTATTGGTAATCCCCGTTGCTTATCCCATGGGCTGCCACTCTCGGTTCCCTGATCCATAATAGCCTGCCTCCTTCCCTGCTGTAGTTGTACTGCTGCTATCAGAGGTCTCCACTGTTGGCCTGAGAAATCAGTTAGCAAAAGGAAGAGAAGCAGGGAAGGCAAGAGATCTGCATATGGAGGGGTGGGATAAAGTAGCAGACAGAATCCTTTTCCTCTTTCCTGCTTCTTCCTTCCTCGACAGCAGCAGAAGAAATTATCCCCCAAATTTGATGGTCTCATTTCTGAGATTCAGTAAGAGGAATCTTGTGTGGTGGCATTTTCCCAGTGGCATACTTTCTTGGAGACTTGAGGAAAAAACATGGCGGGGGATGTGGGGAAGAGTCCAGTTGGCTTTCTTTTGGAATGAGTTGCATCTATTCCCCATACAGGTCTAGGAAAATTCACCACAGCCAACTTGCCATGGCCATCTCACCACAGCCATCTCGCCATAGCCATCTCGATGCAGCCATCTCACCATGGGACAACTCACCAAGACCAATTTGCCATGGGACAACTCACCATGGACAATTCAAGGCGGATAACTCAGTGTGATAAATGTTATTTGCCATTGTTTCTTTGACATTATTTCTATTGACAAAAATGGAAATAATGCTGAAGAAACAGTGGTAGATAACATTTATTGTGTTATCCCAACTCACCATGAGTTGTCTCATGGTGAGTTGTCCATGATGAGATGGCCATGGCATGTTGGCTGTGATGACATGGCCGTGGTGAGATGGCTGCAGAGAGATGGCTGGGGTGAATTGTCCCGTTCTGCTTCAGACACCAGAAGAACTGAGAATCACCAGTAGTGACTGATATTGAATTTGCTCGGTTCAGGATATATATTTCCCGTACTTTGTAATGCTTATGTTTTATTTTTGGATGCTGCCCAACTGAAATTAAAAAGAAATTTTGATTAGACTGATTCAGGATTTCATTTCATCTTACCTCATTTCTGTGCTTATCAATACTCAGTCTGCAATAAAGCTATCTGGGCCATCCATCGCTGCCCTGCTTTTTAGAGGCTGATTTCCAAGTTTCCTTCCCCAGGGTGATAAAACATGACTAGCCAGTGTCAGACTATTCTGTATAGATGATTGATCAGGATTCACATTTCCATTAAAACTCCATATTGTGTGTATATTCATATGCACATATAACTTCTGTATTTATCCAATTAGAACATAGAATACAAGTTGGGAAGGGACCTTGGAGGTTTTCCTAGTCCAACCAGGTGCTTGAGCAGGAGACCTGGTTGAAAACTTCCAGTGATGGGGAACCTATAATTTCTGGATTATATCACTACCAATCATGTTTCAAATTATGTTCAGCTGATATATTATCTGAAGGTCTTTCCTTTTTTTTGCACCTACTAACATTACAAAAATTGACCTTGCAACATTGTTATCTGCCATATTTCCATGATGTTGCTTTCATCTCATCCTGGATATTTCTCATGAGTGAGACAGGTTTGTCATCTTTGCTCTACCAGTGATAGTGTTTCTCCATTTATTCTGTCCAAGAAAAATGTCGTGATGTGCTATGATTGACAGTAAATTTCATGTTGGGTAGATGAGTGAATACTATTTTAATTCAGCAATGGGGAAAGTCCCAAATAAAGTGTCAGAGAGTATATTTCATATAAGCTCTTCATCACTCTTACTTGATACACTGAAATTATTAGCTGAGATGAACTGGGGAAAAAAGATTCTTCAAAAAGAAGTTATTTATCCACCCAACTTCTTCTTGATTTCAGTCTAAACAACTCATACTTATTTTCAAATGCCTGGGAGTTTGACTCAAAATGTTTTATAACATAGGCCTGTTCTAATTTCTCCAAATGGGGAAGTGAGGAAGGATTGCATTGTCAGCTTGGTATGTAATGCTGACCATGCTGTCCATGCTGTCCCCATTATTTGATTCATGTACTGTATGTTTAGAAAAGGTCACCTTTCCCAATGCAACTCTAAGTATTGCTTCTCCATGTGATTGGATCTCCAATTGTGCAGGGATTTCAATTGCATTAAATATCTATCTGCATACCATAGGTGGATGGGGGATCTGTGTTTGATCCAACTTCCCCGCCCACAAATTTTGTGGTAGTCATTAAGTGGGTCACCACCATGTCCAATTTTATGACTTATTAAGCAAACACTGCAGTTACTAAATGAACACTGTAGTCATTAAGCAAACCTGGCAGTTGTTAAGCAAACCTATTTTCACCAATGGGCAATTTTGCTGGAAACTGTAAATAAATGCCAGAAACCAGCAAAATCTGCCAAAAATTGCAGTTATATGATCACAGGATACTGTAAACAGCTGAAAATGTGAGCTGGTTGCTAAACACCCCAAATATGATTACATGGCTGTGTTGGGTGAAGCAGATTGTAACTTCGAAAATGGGTTCGAAGTAGCTCTGGGGAAGTTGGTCTTAACTTTGAATGGTTGCTAAGCAACTGGTCATTAAGCAAGGACTACTTACATTATTATTCTTGGAACATTATCCTGAAATTGTTAATTCTACAGAGTCAGCACCTGGCTTATGATTTCTAAGCTTCAGCCTCTTTTTTCATACCATGAACTATGTTGAATCAGGTCCTATGAGCGAGAGCCCAGTTCAGTGGTTTCTTTTACCAGCAGTTATTAATCAAGAGCACTGCTGTTTAGCAAATATTGGACACTGTGCCCATAGATCTTCAAAAGGATAGAGGTTATGGCTGTTCAGAAGAAGGAGAAAACTAAAGTAATGCTTTTTTGTCCTGTTCCCTTGCTTAAATTGGTTTGATACTGCCTTTGATTAAGTTCCACCAGGATCCTACTTTTGCTGACATTTTGTTTTCTTTGATTTTTCTACAAGTGATATCAAAAGCACCTAGGCAGTGAGGGTAGAAGAGTGATGCTATTCCTTGCTCTCAGCTCCATCCATCCAACACAGTCCTATTGTCCCAGGCAAATGTTAAGTAATTTTGATGTCCAAACATTAACAATAAGCATGTACTGCATTTAATGCCATTGTATTGGATTTTGATTTATGAGGCACTGTGTGTTGTTCATATTATGATCTCTGAATGTCATTTACTTGGACACAGATACACTTCTGTTGAGCGTTACACACTGTGCTAAGCCATAAAATGATTGCAATGTTACAGATTAGGGAACACCTGAGTCCAGTTAATTGTGGCTTATGTAGGGTTAAGCAAACCATATGCATTTGTGCTATTTCATCGTTCTCCCACAGGTATTTTTTCTTAACATAATGCTGCTATAAGAACTATGAATCTGATTTTCATATATGGATATATGGTTGTCAAAAATCTGAAGTATTATAACTTCACACATTGCAATGAAGAACTAAAAGAAGAAAAATACGTTTTGATGCCTTATGATAAAGGAAGTAGTTGTAATCAGGAATTTTCCCATTGTACTGTGATATTTGCAGTTCCGGATAATTCTTCTTGGTCTTATTTTTCTTAGATGTGAGTGGAAAGTATGAAGTATGTCATTCATCTTAAGTGACTTTTGGTTGATGAAGAAGGTATACATCTTAGAGTTATTCATATGCAGCTAACACACATACTTCATTGTTTCATTATTTGCCATTTATTTTTAATATAATAGACCAATACAATGCAAAATACATCCACATGGGAAATAATGTTACATATAAGAAGGAAAAACTTCTGGATACTGCTAGGAAGTGACCATGAAGATACTGAAAGACATTTTGGCCTGAAATGTTGTCATTGTGTCCTGATTGCAATATTTTCATGGTCAATACTGTCAATACTGTTCAATTACTCTGAGAGAAATTTCTACCTAAGCTGAATACAAAAGTTTGATACAGCAATAAATTTGTCTGTCCAGTTGACATTTCCAGAAAAAAGAAACTCCTGGGACATGATTTCACCAAGAGTATAATACTTTACTGAAAATTTACATTGGCACAGAAGAAGCAAAGGTTTTCCTGTGTGAAAGCTTACTTAATTAAACAATAGATTCCCTTGTCCCCACCCACCAGGTGTTCACATTGTCCAATAGTAATGCTTCTTCTTGTTATGGGAAAAGTCCACTTCTCCATTGAGCACCTGTGTTAGTGATCTTGGCATTCTTGCAGGCTCTGAAAGATGCCTTGGTTGCCTAGATTACCATCCCTCTCACCTTTGCGTTCCATTCCACAATCTTTACTCTGTTTTTGTCAAGCTATGAGAGAGGGAAAAAATGTAGGTGAAAGGGCGAATCAGTCTTGACAGTAGGAAAATGTTGGTCAGATACCAAACTCTACATTATACCATGATAGAGTAGATTAGAGTAGAGTAGAGTAGAGTAGAGTAGAGTAGAGTAGAGTAGAGTAGAGTAGAGTAGAGTAGAGTAGAGTAGAGCAGAGTAGAATAGAAGCTGGAAGGAACCTTGGAGGTCTTCTAGTCCAGCTCCCTGCTCAAGCAGGAGAATCTAAACCAGGGGTAGGCAACCTCGGCTCTTTTATGACTCATGGACTTCAACTCCCAGAATGCTGACTCAGGAATTCTGGGAGTTGAATTCCATGAGTCATAAAAGAGCCGAGGTTGCCTACCCCTGACCTATACCATCTCAGAGAAGTGATTGTCTAGCCTCTTTTTAAAAATCTCCAGTGATAGAGCACCCATGATTTCTGAGGGCAAGCTATTCCACTGGTTAATTGTCCTCACTGTCAGGATGTTTCTCCTTAATTCCAGGTTGCTTCTGGTTTTGATCAGTTTTCAATCATTGTTTCTTGTCCTGCCCTCTGGTTCTTTGGTGAATAATGTGACCCCCTCTTCTTTGTGGCAGCCCCTCAAATATTGGAATGCTGCTATCATGTCTTCCCTATTTCTTCTTTTCTTTAGACTAGCCAAACCCAAGTCCTGCAGCCGTTCTTCATATGTTTTAGTCTCCAGGCCTTTGATCATCTTAGTTGCTCTTCTCTGAATTTTTTCCAAACTCTTAACATCTTTTTTTTTTTATTGAAAATTTTTAAAATTTTACAAAAAAAATTTCCCTTCCCTAGATCCTCCCAACCCACACCAGCCTTCCCCCAACCTTCCCAGAGCTGAATACAGGCTTAATTAAAATTTAAAAGAAAAAGTTTTAAACACAAATAAATCATATACAAATTTGATTACAATAATTAAACAAATTATAAAATACTTTAACACCCATATTTAGAAAACAAAAAGAGAAAAAGAAAAGAAACAAGAAAAAGGAGAAAAAAAGAAAAAAAAATCTTAAACTTTAAATATAAATTATTCAAAAACTAAATAATATTTTTATATCATATTTATATTGTATAAAATTTATCCATCTTTTCCATACCAAGAGATACTTCTCTTGCGATTGATCTTTCAAGAAAGCCGAAATCTTTGCCATTTCCGCTAAGTAGGAAACTTTAAGAAACCATTCTTGCAAAGTAGGCAAAGATTCCTTCTTCCAACATTGCCCTACTAACAACCTAGCCGCTGTAATTAAATTTAACAATAATATAGTTTCTCTACTGTCACAATCAGAAACAATACCCAGCAAAAACAATTGTGGAGTAAATTTTATCCTTCTTTTAAAAATTGTTTGAATATTCCACCATATCTTAATCCAAAAAGCTTTTATATTTTTACATGACCACCAAATATGATAATAAGTAGCATCCAAGCAACCACATCTCCAACATTTAGGCTGCAAGTTTGGATACATACGAGACATTTTTTGTGGATCAAGGTGCCATCTATAAAACATTTTATAAAAGTTTTCCCATAAGTTTTGGGCTTGTGTGAATTTAACATTCCTCACCCAAATAGTCTCCCAAGTATCTAATGGAACCGATTCATCAAAGTTTTGTGCCCATTTAACCATACAATCTTTAACTAGTTCTGCTTCTGAATCCAATTGCACTAACACCCCATAAATTCTTTTAATATGGGTTCGTCTTTGATCTTTTATTTGTTTTAACAAATTCTCATCCTCTCTGAGCAAACTCACATTGCAATCTATCTTCCACCTTTCCAATAGTTGTCTATACTGAAACCATGAATAAATAATATTTTCTTGTATTAAGTCTTCCATAGATTTTAGTTGCCAATTTTTGCTATCCCATCTAAGTAATTGTGTATAAGAAATACTATCCATCTTAACTCCTCTCCTTATCTCTTCTATCGCATGCCATGGGATAGCCCATAATGGAATTCTAGAATCACTTCTATAATATTTTTTCCAAACCCGAAGTAAAGAAATTCTTAAAATGTGAGACTTAAAAACCCTATCAACCTTTTTATTAAAAGTTAAATAGGCATGCCATCCAAAAAGTAAATCCCATCCCTCCAGGAGGAGTACATTTACATTTGTTAAGTTAACCCAGTCACTAATTAATGTTAACACCACAGCATCATAATACAATTTCAGGTTCGGTACCTTGAGTCCACCTCTCTCACGAATATCTTGTATAATTTTAAGTTTTACTTTTGGTTTTTTCCCTGCCCAAATAAATTTATTGATACCTTTCTGCCATTCATTTAAGTTAGTCTCATTCTTTAAGATAGGTATCATTTGAAATAAAAAAAGAAACTTTGGCAAAACATTCATTTTAATCGCTGCAATTCTCCCCAATAGGGATAATTGCAGCTTCTTCCAATTTTCCAAATCCTTTTGTATTTTAACCCACAGCCTTTCATAATTATTTTTGTACAATTTTGCATTGGAAGCAGATAAAATAACCCCCAGATATTTTACCTTATTAACAACCTCAAAATCTGTCAGCCTAACTAGGGTCTCCTTATCCAAATTGGTCATGTTTTTAGGCAATATTTTAGTCTTATTATTATTAATTTTAAAACCCGAAACTTGTCCATACTGATGTATCAATTGTAGCAACTCCATTACAGAATAAGTTGGTTAGGATAAAGTAACAACCAAATCATCTGCAAAAGCCCTTAATTTATATTCTTTTTTATTGACTTCTATTCCTTTTATTTTCTGTGATTCCCGAATTTTAATCAGCAAAATTTCCAAAGTTAAAACAAACAGTAATGGTGACAGTGGACAACCCTGTCTAGTCCCCTTCTCAATTGAAAACACCTCTGATAAACCTCCATTAACTATAAGTTGTGCCGTTTGTTTTTGATAAATAACACGAAGAGCTTGTAAAATTTTTTCTCCAAAATTCATTTCCTCAATTAATCTTAACATAAATTGCCAATTTAACTGATCAAAAGCTTTTTCAACATCTAAAAAAAAATCATGCAGAAACTTGGTTGTTTTTATCCAAATATTCTATTAAATTAATAATTTGTCTAACATTGTTCTTCATATACCTTCCAGTTATAAAACCCATTTGATCCATATGTATTAATTGATTCAACACCCTCATAAGTCTATTAGCTAAAATTTTTGAAAAAATCTTATAATCTACATTCAAGAGAGATATGGGTCTATAATTCTTTGGTAAAGTGAGATCTTGGTCTTCTTTTGGGATCAAAGATATGAAAGCTCTGCCCCATGACAAGGGGGTCTCTGAACCCTGTAATATATTGTTAAAAAGTTCCCTTAAAGGTTGTATCAACTCCTTGCCAAGGTTTTATAATAAATAGATGTCAATCCATCAGTACCCGGTGCTTTACCTAATTTTAATTCTTTAATTACTATCTCAATTTCCTCAATGGTAATCAAACCATTAATTTCTTGTTTCTGATCTTCTGTTAATTTAGGGAAATGAGCATCTTGTAAATATTTAGCTATATCTGAAGCCTGTACTTTCGTATCCATATATAATTTTTTGTAATAATCTAAAAAAGATTTCTTAATCAACTCCTTCTGATATACCAATTTACCATTATAATTTATTTTATCTATAGTTCTCAGCCTCTGCTTCTTTCGCAATTGATAAGCCAACCATCTCCCTGGTTTATTAGCATTGCAAAATGTATTATGTTTCATGTACAATAAGTTGGTTGCAGTTTGATCAGCCATCAACATGTTAAATTGTGATTTAAGCAATTTTATAGATTCTTTATTCTTCTCATCTATAGGATTCAAAATTAAGGCTTTTTCTTTTAATTTAATCTCATTTTCCAACTCCTTACGTTTCTGCACCTGCTTCTGTCTATAAACCTTATTCATTTGTATCAAGACCCCCCGCATGTAAGCTTTACCAGCATCCCAAACCATTGACATTGAAGTTCCCTTATACATATTTAAAGCAAAATATTCCTTTAATTGCTCCTTTAATTTCTGAACATTCTTTTCTTGTCTAAATAAATTTTCATTCATCCTCCAAGATCTCCTCTCCTCTTTTTCATTAACCAATTCCATCCAGACTGGACTATGATCCGTCAATGTCCTAGGAAAAATCTTAACATTCTTTACTCTAAAATATAAATCCGTTGTAATAAAAAAAAATCAATTCTTGAAAAAGATTAATGTCTGTCCGAAAAGAAGGTGAAGTCTCTCTCCTCCAAATTGTGTTCACGCCAATAATCTTGCAACTCCCAGTCCTCTTTCAAATCAAAAAAAGCCTTAGGTAATTTAGCCTGTTTAAAAGAGATAGAAGGTCCTTTTTTATCTCTTTGTGTATCTAAAACACCATTCCAATCTCCCATTAAAATAACAGATCTGTAGTCCAGCAAAATTAATTTTTGATGTAACAGTCTATAAAATTGTTCCTGTTGCTGATTTGGTGCATATAAACCTACTATAAGTACTTTCTTACCATACAGTCCCACTTCAATCATAACATATCTCCCTTGGGGATCAGAATCTACTAAACAAGCTGATAAATTTTGCTTGACATAAATAACTACACCCCCTTTTTTCCCAAGAGCAAAAGATGCAAAATGTGATCCCAATCGAGTATTAACTAAATATTTTTGATCCTTAAAAATAATATGTGTTTCCTGCAAGCAGATAATATCATTGTTATGTTGCTTTAAGTAGTGAAATATTTTCTTTCTCTTTTGAGGGGAATTGAGACCATTAGCATTCCATGTCAGGAGCTTTACCATCTCCCTTGACCAAAAGCCTAGAGAAGACTGCTTGAAGATATGCCATTGAGGAATGTACCACAGAACTCTTGGGTCTTGCTCCTCCCACAGGCTCAGAAACAGATTCTTGTAAAACTTCTTTAACATCTTTCTTCTGTTGTTCCTTTTTCTTACGTCTGTGGGCTGCCCGGGTCATTCTTTGCTCTTTCATCTCTGCATGTT